ACATTGACGCCGAAATACAACACCGCCTGAGCTCTGCAAGCGCAGCATTTTTCCGAATGAAGCAGAGAGTGTTTGAGGACCGGGACATCCGTAGGGATACCAAGGTGCTTGTTTATAAAGCTATTGTCCTCCCAACCCTGCTCTATGCCTGTGAGACGTGGACTGTCTACAGACGTCACATGCAACTCCTGGAACGATTCCATCAGCGCTGCCTCCGGAAAATCCTGCAAATCTCTTGGGAAGACAAGCGGACAAACGTCAGCGTGCTGGAAGAAGCAAAAACTACCAGCATTGAAGCGATGGTCCTCCACCACCAACTCCGCTGGACCGGCCATGTTGTCCGGATGCCCGACCACCGTCTCCCAAAGCAGCTGCTCTACTCCGAACTCAAGAATGGAAAACGGAATGTTGGAGGACAGGAAAAGAGATTTAAAGATGGGCTCAAAGCCAACCTTAAAACTCTGGCATAGACACTGAGAACTGGGAAGCCCTGGCCCTTGACCGCTCCAGCTGGAGGTCAGCTGTGACCAGCAGTGCTGCAGAATTTGAGGAGGCACGAGTGGAGGGTGAAAAAGAGAAACGTGCCAAGAGGAAGGCGCGTCAAGCCAACCCCGGCCGAGACCGCCTTCCACCTGGAAACCAATGCCCTCACTGCGGAAGAAGATGCAGAGCAAGAATAGGGCTCCACAGACACATACGGACCCACAAGAATACTGGAAGACAATCATCCTCGGAAAACGAGGGACCACCTAAGTAAGTAAGTAATAGGTTAACGATCAATCCCAGCAATTACAACTCCCAAATGTCAAGGTCTGTTTTCCCCTAAACTCCACCAGTGTTCACATTTGGTCATATTGAGTATTCATACCAAGTTTGGTCCAGATCCATCATTGTTTGAGTCCATAGTGCTCTCTGGATGTAGGTGAACTACAACTCAAAACTCAAGCTCAATGCCCATCAAACCGTTCCAGTATTTTCTGTTGGTCATGGGAGTTCTGTGTACCAAGTTTGGTTCAATTCAATCATTGGTGGAGTTCAGAATGCTCTTTGATTGTAGCTCAACTAAAATTCCCAGAAACTACAACTCCCAAATGACAAAATCAGTCCCTGCCCCCCAAGCCCATCATTATTCAAGCCCATCATTATTTCTCTTCCTTCTTTTCCCCCTCTTTCTTCCCCCCTCACCATTGTTTTTTTCATTCCCTTCTTTTTCTCTTTCTTTCCTTTATCCCTTCCTCATACACCTTCCCTGCCTTTCCTCATTTTCCACTTCTTTTCTCTTCCCTGTCTTCCTTCTCCTCATACACTTTTCCCTTTTATTTTTCACTGTTCTACCCTCCATCTATCCTCTTCCCCCTTTCTCTCTTCCTTTCCACACCTTCTCCTCCTTCCTGTTTTCTCTTTCTTTTGCGCATTCCTCCTCCCTCCCTTCCCTCCTTTCCTTCCTTTCCTTCTTTTCTCATTCCTTCCTTCTCTTCCTCCCTCGCTTTCCTATCTCTTTCTCTCTCTCTTTTTCTTTCTTTTCCCATTCTTCCTTTCTTTTCCTCAGAGGTGCCTACTAATAGTGCAGCCCTTGATGGGTAGTAGGCAGAGAGCAAACCTTGCTTCTTCATCTTTTTTTTAATAGAGTGAACAGGTACCATTTCTAGGTTGAAGTGGCACCTACAGAGGCAGACAAGCCAGGCCACGTTGGTTCGGAGCCTCCCTCACCAAGTCTTTTGAGGCGTACTCCAGACCTAGGCCTCTAAGGTCCATCATAGATACTGGTGACTTGTGTTCCAATCACAACAAGTACCCTTGCAGGGCCTTGCTTGCCTTCCTTCCATTGAGGCCCCATGGAGCCCATCTGCACCTCAAGCGAGGCTCCAAAAGAAGCTCAGTCCAACTGCATCAGCTGTAGTGCTGCAGGGTCCATGTCATCTCTGAAAGCTCTAGCCTTCAGACAGCAGGCACATGACAGAGGACTACTTAGCAGCAACCAGTCTCCTTCATTCCCATGGCTATGAAAAGGGTGGATTTTTAGTAATACCCAATTAGTATTTTAAGTTGAATCCTGAAAGATATGTGTGCCAACTTTAGTCCAGATCCATCAACCCATGTAAGAGCGTTTGCGGAACAAACAAACAAACTTTAAGCATATGTGTGTGAGAGAGCGAGGTTTCAGCTTTGCGGAAACTGGATTAAAAAGATATCTCATCGAAGAGATTTCAGTTGGGATGTTAGACGAAGCAAAGACTTTGCCTTTGCCCTTGTGAACTTAAGTCACTGGTCTTTTCTCAAATGGTTTCAATTTGACACGTTCAGTGGCTTGGAACTTGTGGCCTCCTGTGTACCTGCATGAACAAGAAATCTTTCTGCATGCATCAAGTGCATCTGAATGTCATCCAGGGAAGCTGGCTAAGTGCATCACTAAGACACTTCTTATAAAAAATGCATAAGGTGCTTATAAAGGCAATTACCTTTCCACAAGGCAGCGAAGGGACAGTACGTGACCCAGTGAGCTAATGAAAAACTTTGAAAGGAGACCAGTTCAGTCCTTTCTGCAAGTAGACCAGAGGCATCTTTCCTTTCCAGGCACATATGTGGTCCCAATTATGTGGTCCAAAAAAAAATTAAAATGGCTTTAAAACAAAGTACTAAGAACAGGAAATAGCCCATCCCATCACGAACCTGACCCTTCCAGCAGCCAGGAACTGTCCTTCTCTCCCTTATGACTTTGAAAATCACAAGCTAAGGGAATGAGCTATGGCACAAAGTGTCTGTTAAATTAAAACAATGGACACGAAAAGAGTGTAAGATATTAAACATATACTATGATGTAATCTATGATGTATACTATCATGTATGAAGAAAGCGCAAATGCTGGGCTGCAGTTAAACATTAAAAAAACCCCAAGATTATGGTAACAAGAATTATTAACAACTGGGAAATAGAGGGAAAAAACGTGGAGGCAGTGCCAGACTTTGTATTTCTAGGTGCAAAGATTACTGCAGACGCAGACTGCAGCCAGGAAATCAGGAGACGGTTACTTCTTGGGAGGAGAGCAATGTCCAATCTTGCTAAAATGGTGAAGAGCAGAGACATCATACTGGCAACGAAGATCCGCATAGTTAAAGCAATGGTATTCCCCATAGGCACCTACTGATGTGAGAGCTGGACCATAGGGAAGGCTGAGCAAAGGAAAATAGATGCTTTTGAACTGTGGTGTTGGAGGAAAGCGCTGAGAGTGCCTTGGACTGCGAGAAGATCCAACCAGTCCATACTTCAGGAAATAAAGCCTGAGTGCTCATTGGAGGGAAGGATATTAGAGGCAAAGATGAAGTACTTTGGCCACATCATGAGAAGAAAGGAAAGCTTAGAGAAGACAATGATGCTGGGGAAAATGGAAGGAAAAAGGAAGAGGGGCCGACCAAGGGCAAGATGGATGGATGGCATCCTTGAAGTGACTGGATTGACCTTGAAGGAGCTGGGGGTGGTGATGGCGTGGGCTGGTCCATGACGTCACGAAGAGTCGGAAACGACTGAACGAATGAACAACAATAATAATGATGTAATCTCACTTTAAAACTTTTGTCCAGTCATGCAATAATTAGGCCACATTCAATCAAAATACAGTACTAACTACAGGTTCTCTAAACCAGTTAACAGCCTGGTATGGTACCCTAGTTATAGTGATAGGACAGGCATCTCATTCAATAGTAAAGAATTAGTGGTAATAGTAAGGAATTAGTGGTAATGAAAATACTTGACTCTGATATGTTTTGGGAGAGAAATCATCGTAAACATTGAACCTTCAAAAATTCTAGATGTGCCATCATATACCACTTCATTGTTTTTCCAGAAGGTAGATGAAGAAGGACTTAGTAAAGGCACAATCACCAGCTGTTCCAATGAGTTGGGGAAAAAGTGAAACATCTAAAGTTTTGTGTCAAGTAGCAAAGATAGACAGAAAGACAGACAGACATATAGAGTTACAGTATGAGAAATAGAAAAATAAACAGAAAACCAGGGATATATGCATATCGGTATCCCAAGCCAAGAAGAACAAAAGAGGGGACTTTTCAGTAATTGGAAGAAAGAATAAAGAAATGATAGACCTACTGATCAGTGGAATTAATAACAGATGACAACACTAGGGAATTCTGTAGTCAACTCATAACAGATATGACTCATACACAGTTAGAAATTGTAGTTCAGGATTGATGAAGAGTGTATTAAGAAATTCCTAGCTGTCATAAATAAATGTATGTAATTGGAGTCATCCTGAGGTATGGCCTAGTCTTCAAAAAAGAGTACTATGAAAACTGGCCCATGGGTGAGGGCAAAAACATCTCTATTTTAGAAGGTAGGACTAGATCTAATGGATTTACACTTGAATATTGAACACAAGGGGAAACTTCTGGAGAGAACAATTTAACAATGGAGCAATTTGAAATAAAACTCCCTTCACTTGAAGTCTTCAAACAAGACTGGAAAGCTGTCTATTAGAGATGCTTCAATTCTGGATCCTATATATCAAACGAAGAGTGGGCCTGTGTGATCTAAGAAGGAATTTTCCAGCTATACAATTATATGAGATTTTCTGTTTTAGTCCAAACATGGCTCCTTACCTCCCATCCTCTGATCAAACTGAGAAAACCCAGCTCATGAGATTGGGTTTTAAGGAGATTTTGTTTTTTAAAAAAACACGCACACACGAGACTGTCAGATTATTGTGTTATTAAAAATGCAGAAAAGAGAAGGATTGCTTTTGAGTTAGATTATAATATTTCTGCCATATTGCTGTTTAGCCACTTTGTTCCACATAGGCTTTAGAACTCTTCCCTCGGATGCTTTTCTAGGAAGACCATGGGATCAGCATCACTTCCAGGCTGGAAACAGTGTGGCAGCCATGGTTCTCTTTGGGAACTGAAGATGCTTCTCACAGGCATCAGTGATGATGCTGAGAGACAGTTGTTCCAGACATGCCAGGATCCTTAGAGGAACAAAAATGTCAAGTTGCCCTGAAGGGATTGAAATGTGAATCATATAATAGGATAGAACAGATGGCATGGGAGGATCTAGACATAGTGACATGGATAATTTGATGGAGGCTTAGTCTAATGAAGGAATTATAGCATGCGGTTAAACTAGAAGCCAAGCCCTCTGATGAACAGCTTAGGAAGCTTGATATGTTTTGCCTGGAGAAGAAAAGGTTAATAAATGACATGATAGCCATGTTTAAATATATGAAAGGATGCCATATTGAAGATGAAGCAAGCTTGATATTTGCTGCTCCAGAGACACAGAGCAATGGACTTAGAAAAGAATCTAGTTAAACATTAGGAAGCCTGTCTCGGTGGTTAGAGATGTTCAGCAGTAGAATATGAGAATATGTTGCCTTAGAATCTGGTGGAGTCTCCTTCTCTGGAGGTTTTTAAACAGGCTGGATGGAGTGCTTTGATTGTGAATTCCTACATGGCAGGGATTAGATTGGAGGGCTCATGGGTCTCGTCCAAGTCTATGATTCTATATTTCTGTGATTCTAGATGTATCTAAAACTTCTCAGTGGGGACAAATTAATGCTCTCAATTTACTAATTACTCCAGTGACCTTTGTGTCTTTACTTTTTGCAGCATGTGATCCACCAGACGTTGTGACCCCCATCTTCCAGCAACCAGTCATGGACACTGAAACTATACCCACACAAGAACCCTCCCTCACAGTTAATGAGCAGGTATGTACCACTCCAATGATGGCACAGTGGAGCCTTGGGTAGGGTTTCCTAAAAGTGGATTGCACTAGGAATGTTGTATGTATTGACAAAGACCTCAGTTTGCTGTTATGGGTCAAGCTACACCTTTCTGCAAGAGATCCATTCTATCCTCCATCTCTCACTCTTGGTCAGTGATTCTCAATCTGTGGGTCCCCAGGTGTTTTGGCTTACAACTCTCAAAAATCCCAGCCGGTTTATCAGCTGTTAGGATTTCTGGGAGTTGAAGGCCAAAACATCTGGGGACCCACAGGTTGAGAACCACTGCTTTAGATATGTATGCATATTTGAATACATGCATACATTACTGTTGTTGCTGTGTGACTTCAAGCTGACTCTAACTTCAAGGGACCATATTGTATAGTTTTCAGAGAAATATTTATCCCAAGATTTGCCATTACCTTCCTCTTTGCCATGTCTAAGGTCACCTAGTTGAATTTGAACCCTGGAATTCTAGCCCAACACCCAAAGTCATTAACCCACACTGGGCACCTCTCTTTCTCAATCTCTTAGCACACTCAGATGCACACATAGTGCAGCCTTGCAAAACCTCCTGCCTGTTACATTAGTGTCTCAGATCACCCCTGGCTAACATGACCATGGACCAGTAGAATGACTGTAGTATAGGTGTAATATGTTCACTCCTGGATGTTCCTGTAGTAGTAGTAGTAGTAGTAGTAGTAGTAGTAGTAGTAGTAAATAATAATAATAATAATAATAATAATAATAATAATAATAATGTTTATTAATACACCTGTTTTTCTCCACCAGGAGACTGTAACTAGTCTGGCTGTATTTTAAACTAATTAAAGTTTCCAAATTTCGTACAAGGCTAGTAGCCCAGTGTAAAGCAAATTGCTAAAGTTCAAGCTTGAGGTCATCAGTGCATGCTCTACTATCTTTAGGTCCTCCGACTCTAAGAGGTGGTACAACTCGTATATCAGCTTCAGCTTGTAATAAGCACTCTTGACTGTCACATCTACCTAGGCTGACATTTGGAGAGAGGGATCCAGGAGCAGTCCCAAGCTGCGAACACAGTCTTTCATGGAGAGTGTAATGCCATCCAGAACTGGTTGATACTTCTCCATTCGCAGATTAGAACTCTTGATGGCAAGCACCCCTATCTTGACTGGATTCAGTATCAGTTTTTCTCATCCAGCCCATTACCTTCTGTAGGCATTCATTCAGAGAAGACAAGTTACTCTTAGCTAAAGCTATTTTTGAAAGCATGGAAATATATTTGTCATCAGTGTACTGATAACATCTCGCCCCATGCCTTCAGATTACCTCTCCCAGCTCCTTTTTTGATGAGTAGGTATCCCCAAGCACTAGCATCTGGAACCTACCTGAGCGGTATAACCAGAGCCATTGCAACACAGTGCCTTCAATTCCCAAACCCCCAATGTGTTCCAGAAGGATGCCATGATCATGCTGAGAGATCTAGAAGTACTAACAGGGACATAATCCCCCTGTCAGTGTTAAGACTAAGATCATCTACTAAAGCGACTAGTCTCAGCTCTATCCTGCTCTGAAGCCAGTTTGAAATGGATCAAGGAAGTGTGTGTCATCCAATACTACCTGGAGCTGGAGTTGAATTGCTTTCTCAATCACCTTGCCCAAAAAGAAAGATTGGAGACTAGTCTGTAATCGTTAAGGTCCAGGGGATCCAAGGAGGGAATTTTAAGCCATGGTCTAACTGCTGTTTATTTTAAGCAAATTGGAAAGTTCACCACCCTGAGAGATGCATTAATAATTTGTTATATTTGAGATTGAATTGCATCTCCTCCCTCAACAACCAGCCAAACGTGGCAGCGATCAAGAAAGCAGGCTGTCTTCCTTTCTTGCCCCAGCAGCTTTTCCACATTGAAACCAATCTAGTGTAATCCCATTCACAGAGTTGCTGGACACCTCGTTGTTGACTTCTGCTCCAATGACAACATCTGTCGGCTCTTATATGAGAGATTTTGTATGTGAAATGGTTATTAAAGGCATCACAGTGAGCTACTGAAAGTTCTAGCAATGGATTCAACATAAATTGTACCTACTCTGAATAGCTCAGCTGGATGTGAAGATGCAGTACATGCAGAAAAGAAAGCTTTCTTCACTGAACATATTGCCACCTTATAGGAACAAAGATATCCTCTATATCATGTCTTGTCGAGTTTTCTGCAAACTGCGCTCTCGTTGCCCAATATCAAATACATCAAGGTACTCTTGAGCTGTGTTTCCCATTTATAGATCTAATTCAGATAATATATAATTATGCCCTGATTTATTATAATTGGGGTCTTTATAGTGCTATGACTGGCCACTATGCATCTTCAGTTACCACCACATATGAAGTTGTTCAGTTTGGTCAAACTGCTGTTCAATGTAACCATTTTGACTGGTAATAACCCACCAGGGTTTAAAGAGGGGAGGCTGTCTCTGTCTACTGAGTGATATCAGAAACTGAAACAGAATCTGCAAAGCATGTACAGTTGGTCCTCTGAATCCATGGATTCTACATTCATGGTCCCAACCATCCTCAGCTTGAAAGCAAATTTAGAAAAGCAAATTTTGATTTTGTCATTCTATGTAAGGCACACCATTTTCTACATCATTGTATATAATGGAACTTGAGCATCTGTGGATTTTGGAACCAAACCCCAGAAGATACCAAACCCTAGTGGATACTCAGCTATTGTCCATCAGTTCATGGTCCAGAACACTATAGCTGCTTCTCCCTGTTCTTTGTGTTGATTCTGTTTGCTACACTCTTAATATTTTGCTATCTCTCCTCAGGTGATTGTGATGTCAGGTCATGAGACAATTCGGGTGCTGGAAGTGGGTGTGGATGCTCCACTGCCTGCAGACGATGAAGGAAAAACTATGAAAACAACATCAGCAGCTGAAGGAGAGGATAATAAAAGTTGCCCTGCAGAACCCAATGGTACAGGAAGGGAAGGGGCAGAGCAAAACTCAGAAAAAGTTTGCGGGGAATCAGAGCGTAAGCAGCGCTTTCTTATTGTTCCATTTGTTTTGTTTTCTTCATTCATGCTCTTTACACACACAAAAAAAACATACTGGAAAGTACAAGTAATAGACAACCTATAGTATACTAAGAAACAATAGATAGATATCTCATTATCTATCTATCTAATCTTAGGAATAGGTCAACTAGAGAGTGGCCCATCAGCTTCTTGAATGTCCCCTTGCTGAAAACGTGCATTCTGTATTCGGTCTTCTCTTGCGATACTGAAAGATTAAGACAGATGAGCCAGCATGGTGTAGTGGATGAGCAATGAATGACAATTCAGGAGACCAGGTTTCAAATCCCTGCTTAGCCATGGAAACCCAAGAGTGACATTGTGCAAGTCACACTTGCTCAGTCTTTCAGGAAGACAAAACCAACCTCTTTCTGAACAAATCTTGCCATGAAAACCTTGTGATAGGTTCATTTGTGTTACCATAAGTCTGAAACTACTTGAAGTGGCAACAAGGTTCCTCTGGTCTCCAGTTTGCATTGGGGACCCAATTGCCTTAGAGCAGTTGTTCTTAACCTGTGGTTCGCCAGATGTTTTGGCCTTCAACTCCCAGAAATCCTAACAGCTGGTAAACTGGCTAGGATTTCTGGGAGTTGTAGGCAAAAACACCTGGGGACCCACAGGTTGAGAACCCTTCCTTAGAACCTCCACCACAAGTCTTTGAAGGTCACATCCTCACCAAATGATATTCAGTATGGACTTCCTCACACATGTCTGCCTGTCTCCTGGTTAGTATCTGTGTCCCTCTCATATCCACTACAGCAGTGTCAAACTTGTGACCCTCCAAGTGTTTTGGACTTCAGCTCCTTGAAATCCTGCTATTGGACAACTTGCTAGAACTTCTGGGAGTAGGAGGTCCAAACATCTAGATGGCCACACATTTGACATCCCTGTGCTACAGATGATGCTTCTCTACAAGTGACTTACATGTACCAATAACCACACATGATGCTGTTCTTCCATATTTTTCATTTTAATATATTTTTGGTAATAAAGTGATAGGGGCAAGGAGGAATAGTGGGAAAATACAGCAAGATTACAAGTGGTTGCAAAACCTATGGGCATTCTTGTCAGTGGCAGTTCATAAGCAAGTGGTCAAAGCAGAACAACCTGGGACATGTGCAGAAGGCTAGAAGGAAAAATCCAAGACTGGTGCCAAGAATTAGTCTAAATACTCCAACTGTAGTATTAAAAAGAAGTGCTAGGGATGCTTTCTGCCTGGTCATTGAACTGTCTCATTAGGTAGATTCCATGTAAAGCAGAGCTGGGCATTTGGCCCTCCTAGATTGCAATTCCCAGCATTCTTTTTTGTGGTATATACTGGCTTGGGCTGAGAGGTGTTCAATATGAACTAGACACGCTAGAGTGGCATTTCCTGCAACTGCACTCAATTGTACAGGCTTGCTAATAAACATTAGGAAGACAACTCCTGCAACTTCTATAGCCATGTGTCTTTTAGGACAAAATATACCACATGAACAGGTAACATTTCAAATGGAGAGCTGTAAAAAGAGCACTGATTTTATGAAATCTTGGGGAGGAGATGTACAGTCCTCCAGATACTGTTGGACTGCAACTAACCAGTATATCTAATGGCGAGGAGTGTAGTTTAGCAACATCTGGAAAGCCACCTATTTCTCACTCCTCCTCTGCAAAATTGAGGAAAGTAAGCTAGGTTTCCATCTTTCCTCAGAGCACTTTCAAGCCCCTTTCCAGTACAAAGAAGTGATCTTCTCAGAAAAAGGGGTTGGATGAAGCACGCAATCCTTTCTATGCACGTTTTGCTTGCTGACATTACACTTTCCTGGCTCTTCCTTCCAGGAAGGAACCGGCTGTCAGGTTGTGTCTTTGAGTCATATATCTAGACTTCACTCAATGAAATTTATTTAATATGACATCCTGTGGATTACATCTGGATAGATAAACAATGTGACTTGCTTCTTCCTTCTCAAGGTGAAGTGAAAACATTGCCTGAAGTAGCACCTGCTGCCATCCCTGGCATGCTCCCCTTCAACCAAGTGACAAACCAGCAAACACAAACACTAACTCCCGTCACGGTGCAAGCCGCACCACAGGTAACTATCCTAAAGTTCTCTGTTGGGTATGTGGGAGGTGTCTTATTGGCTGGTGAATGGACAAAATAGTGCATTCAATTTCTGCAGTGGGGTGGAAACATCCAGCAGTTCCCTTGGATCAAGCTGATGGGGGGCGCCATATTTATGTTGAAGCAGAATTGCAGTTTGAGAACAGGTACCCAAGTCTGGGTGCATCTGTACTGCAGAATTAATGCAGTTTGACACTACTTTAACTGTCATGGTTCTACTGTATGGGAACATGGGAATTGTACTATGATGAGGCGCCAGATCGCTTGGGCAGAGAAGGCTAAAGACCTTTTAAAACAACAAGATGCCTTGTTAGAGGTCATTGAGTTCTAAACTATGTTCCCCTTTACAACTAACCATACTTTGCAGAAATCAAATGCACTCTTCCAGTGCTCTTTATTGGGAATTTATTTTTTGTGGATTGCTTTGGGATATTATCTATACACCTGTGAAGGTACAGTTTATGTGTTGGGTATACTCTGTGTGTTAGTTATTCCATGGTAAGTAAAGGACTCACCATGGAATAACTTGCTAAGAAAATGAGAAACTTCAGCTCAGTTCATAAAACTTGACTGGGATTTGTTATAAGAATAATAACTTCCTACATCTTTGCAATGAACACCATGATGTCGAACCCCAATCCTAGGAAAATGGAAGGAGATCTCGGAACCTTTCTGCACCATCAGTGGATGAGTAAATGGATATTGGTTGTTGCTTTAGATACACACAGCATGCCCTCAAAGTATTTCTTGTATTATGTCATGTGTTATGTCATGTGTCTTCCAGCATTCCACCTACATTATTTTCAACCTGGCGAGGGATACAGGGCAATTCCTTCTAACAATTGAGTATTCATTCCTTGCTGTGCAAAAGATCCTTCTAACAATTGAGTGTTCATTCCTTGCTGTGCAAAAGATCCAGAAGATCCAGAAGCTAGTTTCCATCTTTCCATCTGAGCTTAAAGCCACAATCTAGAAGTAGTGGTGGTTAGTAGGTGGTCTGCTTCTGAGATCTGCTCCATTTCTGTCCAGTTTTGTTAAGTTAGCAGGGAGAACAGTTTAGTTCTTTGTGCCGCCCACAGCTTAGGAACAAAAGGAATGCACCAATCCAGTGTAATTTTAGAAAATTGTCAGTGGGCTGGATAGTCTCTTCCAGTTCTATGGGAAAATATTTAGTAGTGCCACTGAAATGTATTCCCTGGGGGAAAAAATGGCCATATGAATGTAACATTTTCCAGTTGGGAATGTGCATTCAAACACATACTATTGGAGAGCAAGTCCCATCAGTCCTACTAAATGTGCAGTATTACGAATTCAGGAGTTTACATTCAACAGCTAGAGCAGTGGTTTCCAACCTTTGGCCCTTCAGTTGTTTTGAACTTCAACTCCCAGAAATTCCAACCATTGTCGAAGGCTTTCATGGCTGGAGTCACTCAGTTCTTGTGGGTTTTTAGGGCTATATGGCCATGTTCTAGAGGCATTTCTCCTGACGTTTCGCCTGCATCTATGGCAAGCATCCTCAGAGGTAAGGTCTGCTGGAACTGGGGAAAAAGGGGTTTATATATCTGTGGAATGACCAGGGTGAGACAAAGGCCCTTTGTCTCACCCTGGTCATTCCACAGATATATAAACCCCCATTTTCCCAGTTCCAGCAGACCTTACCTCTGAGGATGCTTGCCATAGATGCAGGCGAAACGTCAGGAGAAATGCCTCTAGAACATGGCCATATAGCCCGAAAAAACCCACAAGAACTGAATTCCAACCATCTTGCCAGGTCTTAGGTATTGTGGGAGCTGAAGTCCAAAATACCAGGAGGACCAAAGGTTGGGAACCACTGCTCTACAGAAACACATGTTCCCTGACCCCGCTTTTAGGATACAGTTTGCTTTCCATATCCACAGGTTCTGTATCCACAGATTCAACTCTTCACACAACTTAAAATATTTTTAAATCCCCCAAATAAATCTTGATTTTGTCATTTTTAAATAAGGGGCACCATTTTAATATGTCATTGTTTTTAACAGTACTTAAGCATCCATGGAGGTTCCTGGAACCAAAATTCCACCCACGTTTCCCCACCTACTACAGAGGAAATGTAATTTTTTTTTAAAAAAATCCAGAAAAAATGTAATTAGTTTGAAACACATTAAGTGATATTTTTTAGAAGGATAATTTTATTTTCTGCAACATCTTTCCATCTTTCTTTGTACCATGTCTTCCATTTCATGTACACAGCAGGATAAGATAAACTAAAATGAAATATCCTACTTTCTGCATTGCATTGAGATTTGAGGAGGCCTCTTACACAGCATAATAAAATTGCAACTAAGTAAACATTCATTTGATTCTGCGGAAAGGCCTTTAATGATTCTATGCCATCATGAGAGAGATCACCCTGGTGTTAAGTCATTCTCTTCCTAACTCTGGAGACTGAGTGTCTGGTGCATTGGTTCCCAACCTGTGGGTTCCTAGGTGTTTTGCCCTACAGCTCCCAGAAATCCCAGCCAGTTTACCAGCTGATGGATTTCTGGGAGTTGAAAGCCAAAATATCTGGGGACCCACAGGTTGAGAACCACTGGTCTAGTGTTTAGCTTCCCAGTGCTGTTCCATTTTGTGGAAGTTGGGATCCATCATAGAATTGAGAGGAGTTGGGAAGAAAGAGGTTCTCAGTCCTGTGAGACATAATGACTTGGCATTAGGAGGGTCCTCTTCATGCACTTTTTAAGAACAGACAAAAGGGTGAATCTACATTGTAGAATTAAAACAATTTGACACCACTTCAAACTGCCATGGGTCAATGCTATGGAATCCTGGGAGTTGTAATGTAGTAATGCACAAAACTCTCTGACAGAGAAGGCAAAAGACCTTACGAAACATCGGTCTCAGCATCCCATAGCACTGAGGCAGGGCAGTTAAAGTGGTGTCAAAATGGATTCACTCTACAGTGTGGATGCATACAAGGTCTCCTTCCATGTTCCTGTTCTTCTCAGAACACTCTGTTCTGCAGTTTGCATTTGCAAACAACCACTACGTATAGGTAAATGAGCCTATCAGGACCCTTCCATGCAGCCCTATATCCCAGAATATCAAGGCAGAAAACCCCACATTATCTGAGTGTGGACTTAGATAACCCAGTTCAAAGCAGATATTGTGGGATTTTCTGCCTTGATATTCTGGGATATAGGTCTGTGTGGAAAGGCCCTCAGATAACCCAGTTCAAAGCAGATATTGTGGGATTTTCTCCCTTGATATTCTGGGATATAGGGCTGTGTGGAAAGGCCCCTGGAGAGAGATGAGTTGCTCTTTATGGAAATACTTATTTCTTCACAATCACTTGCAGAGCAGTGGGAAGCAGCTCCATTAAGGAATTGTTACCTTTTGCAGCAAGTACCACACACCCCTGAAAATAATCAGGTGCAAATACACAGATACACACTTAGGGCCTGTCAACACAGCTATGAAACCCAGGATATCATGACAGAAAATTCCACAATATCTGCTTTGAACTGGGTTATCAGAGTCCACACTGGCATATATTCCAGTTCAAAGCAGAAAATGTGGGATATAATTCAGTTGTGTGGAAGGGGCCTTAGACAATTGAAGCTCAGTGTTGTTTGGTATCAGGGCACCATTGTGCTCTATGTAGCCCAGAGTGAATTTTCAGGGCTGTAAAAGATGCTTGGGCCTCACATTTAATGTTGACTTTGAAACCTGCCCCCACTTGTGTGTTACAGAGCTGGCCCTGCCCAGCTGCTGGCATGGGGCGCAAAGCCGCACACGGGCACAGCTCAGGTGGGCGCCTCCTGGCTGGGCTGGGCCTCCCGTGGGCTTGCTGACGTGACTGCTGCGCTGATGCTGTCTGCAGTGGCGTTGATCGTTTTCTTCCCTTTTCTTTTTTAAATCTCGTTTACTTTTGCAGGTCTTGACTCAGGAAAACTTAGCAACAGTTGTGACAGGCGTAATGGTTCCAGCAGGGGCAGTTACTCAACCTCTTCTTATCCCCATCAGTATTGCAGGTCAAGTGGCAAGTCAGCAGGGGCTGGCTGTGTGGACATTTCCTGCAGCAACGGTCGCTGCCCTCCCAGGACTGACGGCTGCCTCTCCTACTGGGGGAATTTTCAAATCACCTCTAGCCAATTTGCAAGGTAACCACTGCTTCCTAGAGGATTTTAGGGTGTTCTGTTCTTTATGAAATGGGGCATTGGCTCAACAGCCTGCATTGAAGGAGGGATGCTGATTTAAAGGGACCATTTGTAATGTCTTTATCTGCATTAATTGAGAGGGGGAAAAGGATTTACTCTGTATTCATGACCACTGCTTTGCAAGGGGATTGGGTAACCCGATAGATAATAATGTCTACCATGAAAATGACTGTGTAATAACACTAATCAGGCAATATCACACTTGATACTAGTTGCTGGGAGTTGTGAGTGGTAGATTGCTGTTTTCCTCCTTGAGGGCTTCCCAGAGCCATCCATTTGGTTACTATGGGGAGATAATGTTGGGCTAGAGCAGTGGTTCTCAACCTGTGGGTCCCCAGGTGTTTTGGCCTACAACTCTCAGAAATCCCAGCCAGTTTAACAGCTGTTAGGATCTGAGTCCACACTGTCATATACCCAGTTCAAAGCAGATAATGTGGGATTTTATACAGCTGTGTAGAAGGGCCCAGAGAAGCCTCTCGTGTTGTTATTGCTTCCATTCATTGACCTATATGCACAGTGAGTGGGCTGTTCCCATTACAGTCAATAGTCCTTATCCACGGGTTCTTCAACCATGGATTCAACCAACTATATTTGAGAAAAAACTCAAGAAGCAAGCCTTGATTTTGCTGCATGGCAAGCACTACTCTGGTGCACAGAAATAGCCTTCTGTAGCCTCCCACTATTTCACATCTTCTGACTCACTCCGGCACTTGTTGTTTGCCATTTTGTATCTGCAATGCCATTTTACTGCACCACTGTACTATATATAATAGGACTTAAGTATCCATGGGTCGTGGAATTAAGTTCCAGCAGATACCAAGAGCATGCTATAATTTTACAGGAGAGATTGTATCTACTGGTACAAAAGGATGTATTCCTTATGTGTTACTTTAATTGAAGTGAAGCACCGGTGGGGTGAAATTTGGTTGCACTTCATCATCATGTGAAGTAGTTTATATTACAGAGTCTGTGGTCTTTTTCCTGCATCTTTGTCACTTTTATTGGGTGGTTATTCTGCATTTTACTTTTATTTAGAAGAGGCTATTAATACAGTCATTGAATGTAAAGTTAGAGTTCCCTGTGCCATCGTGTTTCCCATTTCTAATGTATTGTTGTGGAAGTGAAGGAAGTTGATATGAAGAAAGTTAACTCTTTTGAAATGTAATGCTGGGAAAGAGTTATCATGGACTGATAAAATGACAAATAAATGGTTTATTGAAGAAATCAAGCCTGAACCCTCCCTAGAAGTCAAGATGACTAAGTTTTGGGCATATCACCAGAAAAAAATGACTCACTAAAAAGACTATCAAACTCGGTAAGGCAGAAAAAAGACTGCCTTATAGATGGATTGACCCAATCAAGGAAGGCATGGACCTGAGTCTGCAAGACCTGAGCAGAGCTGTCAATGATAGTGTGACTTGAAGGTCTCTCAATCATAGGATTGCCATGAGTTGAGGATAACATGATGACGGTTAACAATAAACAAATCAAGACAGGGTCGAGACAAGATTCTTCTACCATTAATGTTTGTTGCAGGAGGCCTATGACGTGAAGGCTTTGGGTGACCATAGCTATTACACTATGTAACAAAATATGAAAAGTTTTCTGCTTCTGGTTTGAAAGTGCCATTTCCTGTTTAATTGTGTGGTACTTATTTTGAAAGCAGTTGTTATATTCCATACGCTTTCATTTTCGTTGCCACCACAAACTATGTTGAATTTGTTTAGACTCTGAGATATTCATTGAAAAACTATTGCAAAATGAGATGCAGGATGACCCGCAAAAACAAAGTTTTTGCAGTTTAATAAACCTTTCCCATGTTTCTATGATGGAACTAATTAGGAAATGACATTGATAGCCCAGGAACCAAAATTATGTTGATTGCAATAGCTGATACGGCAGCCACAGAGACTACCTGGTGGTGCCATCTCAGGACTTCTACCAGCACTTGATTATAGCTTTGTGTTTTCCATAAAGAATTTAGAAAGTGAAGAAACAGAGTTTTTTTCAGTTTAATGAAAATGCTTTCACTATCATTTGGCATAACATATTCTCTAATGCAGTGGTTCTCAACTTGAGGTCCCCAGATGTTTTTGGCCTTCAACTCCCAGAAATCCTAACAGCTGGTAAACTGGCTGTGATTTCTGGGAGTTGTAGGCCAAAACACCTGGGGATCCACAGGTTAAGAACCACTACTCTAATGTATTTCAAGACAGTGTAACAACATACAGGTGTGTCTGTTCTGTTCTTTACCCTATGAGGTATATATTAGATAGCATAGACTAGGGGTGATTAACTTCTGCAGGACAGGAGGCTACAATGACATCCCCAAACCCATAGGGAACTTGAAAAGACCTTCACTTTTGTTTTAAAACAAGGTAGACAGGGGGGCTTGTTTTAAAACAGCCGTATATTTTTTTGAAACTAAACTGTGTTTCCAGGAGCATACATTGTTTTAAAGCAATACTACACTTTTTGGCAGTGGTGGCATTGCATCAGTCAGAAGAGGCAGTGGGTGTGTGTTGGTGGGCAGGCGACTGGAATAAATGGGGCAGACAGCAGCTACATGTGGACCACATGTCGCTCCCCAACTTCCATACACATGTAACTTTTCCAACCATTTGCTCATGGATCAAATGAGGATATGATGGGATGGGATAAAGAAAATAGAGTGGGAGAAGGAAAAATATCATCATTGCAATAATTTAGTGACCCTTTCTTTCATTTCTCTCCTCTCACAGCTGCTGCAGTGTTGAATACAGCAGTACAAGCCCCTTTGCAGCCAAGCCAGCCTATCCAGGCCCAACAAACTGTTCAGCCAAGGCCAGCAATTCAAACACAGACTGTACTCCAGCCCCAGGCTCAGCCAGCCATTTTGCCACAGCCAACTGCAGTATCCACACCGCCAGTTGTCAAGCCATTGGAAACTCAAACACAAATAACTGTTCAGCCAGCTGGATTTGCGTTTAACCCTGGAATAGTAAGAAGTTGAAAAATGCCACCGAGGAAGAATTGTTAGCCATTTCTGAAATCTGGGTGTTGAGTGGATTGGTAGCAATAGACAAGCTTCTAGTGGATGTGTTTCTGGTCTGGTCAGATCCATTGATTTATGTGTAGTTTGATGGCAAGGCTGTGCATACTCTTTTTCAAAGATGTTCCTGTGATTTCTTTTCATCATAAACATGAACAGCAACTCCTGAGATATTGGGTTAGATGTCAACAATGAGTGCCCATACCATTTACCATTATTGTATAATCTCTGGTTTAAATCCTCTATTTACAAGCCACACGCACTGTTTGCACAGTCAGAATGTGTGGTTGTAGTCATATCATACTGTGTTCCCTTTGCACATAAAAGTTTGCTTTTCTATCAGAAAAAGCACAGTGGAAATTAATACTAACAGGTTGTAGTTGGCCAAACTTTCTAAAAGACATTTTATGCTGTCAGGGTGAGCATTTATCTTCATCAACAGCTTCACAGTCCTTTAGAATTGGTTTGCAGTGTTTCGACATCCGAACTTCGAACTTCATCTCCCAGAACCCTGACTTTTGCTGGCTGGAAATTTGGGGGGCAGTAGGTTGGGAACCACAGCTGTAGACCAGGGATAGGGGAACATATGACCTTTATGATATTTTTGAGCTGTGTCTCCCATCAGCCAGTAGTGATAATTTGTATTCCAGCAACACCTAGAAGGCTACATGTTCCATGTATTGCACTAGAGCCCTGTAATACTTTTCCACCACAAACCACATTCTGTCCAGATAATCCAATAGGTAAAAGTTTATTTAGAGAGAAGAATATAAAAATAAATCCAAAAGAGAGGTTAGAAGTCCCAAAAGGTATTTCCAAGATAGTTAAGTGTCCAAAATCCTTTCAAATACAATCTAAAGAATCAATCCATAGATATATCCATAAACAAGATGGCATGGTTCCAAGACAGGCAATCTATACACATGAACTATAAACAGGAACAAACTTAGAAACTTGAAAACAAAAATTCAAAAACCATAGGACTAAGAACTGAGAGCTGTTCACCTGAATACAACATTGCTCTCACAAAGGATTCTACTAGCAGAAACCACTTTAAAAGGCGTCAATCCCTCCCATGACATTATTCCTCACACTTCTTTTCCTCTCCTTATATCTTAAGTCTCTGGGAAAAGCGAGTCTGTCTTTGTTGCATGCTCTGCTGGCAAGTCATCCTTGTTTTCAAATGTGTAGAACACTTTATTTGTGTTATCTAGTTATCTTTGAAAGATTCCTGGCTTGGTGGGCTAGTATTATCATAATCTCTATATTGATGAAAGCAGCTGAGAGAGAAATCAATCTGAGAGGTAATGGAAGATAGAGAGTAACATACATTTTAATCTTTGGCTTTTGTTTTATTCTGCAGATCAGTGCAGCTTCTCTTGGATCCCAAACCCAACTCCTCAGTTCCCTGGCTGCCACGCCAGTGATTGCAAATGCGATTCCTAGTCTCCAGGGGATTACTGGGCAAATCCTGACCAATGCTCAGGGACAAGTAAGTGCTATGAGACTCAAAAATACAACACAAGTAACAAGACCCAACTCTTTCCTATTGAAAAAGGTGCATGACTTGTTTGCCAGCCCCCCTTTTAAAAGATAAAGGATGGTCTCATCAAGTATTTCATTGATTTATGTAATTCTAAAAATATGTGCTTGAAACCTGTTGCGGGTTATGTATGGAGCCTATAGAGGGACTATGAAAGATTCCTAAACCTCATTTACTGGTAAACAGCCACTAGGACCAATTGTGATCTGTTCCTCTATTGATTGAGGAGTGGCTAAAGGAGAGAACTGATGAATATGTATGAAAACTCAAAGCAAATTAGGGAATGGTTTCCCACCTGCTGATATATGATCACTTGCTTTCTTTGTTTTAAAAAGCTCATTGTGCTTCAGCCACTATTAGAGCTGGCTTTCCTTAGGAGCTATGCCGTACGTCTCAAACTCAAGCCCCATGGGTCAAATCTGGCCCAACATGTCATTTGATGTGCCCCCCTCCCCCCCCCTGCCTAGAAGCTGGACTACAATTCCTGTATTCCTCATTAGGCATTACAATTAGAGCTGATGAGAATTGTGATGCAGTAACATTTGGAAGCATGTAGTTTGTTCTATTTCGTCGAGAGAGTGGGGACTGTATTTAAATACAAAGCTTGTGGATATGATGTCTTGATGTTAAAATGCCCTTAAACCTTTCCCCAACCTCAGAGCCACAAGTGCTGTTAGATTGCAATTCTCATCATTCCCAGTTTACATAGCAGATAATCAAAAGTTATGGAGTGCAAATTGGGTAAAAACTAAGCACCAATCACAATGTTTATATATATATATATATATGAGAGAGAGACCTTCAGTATCCACAGATTCACTGTCCATGGATTTAATGGCCCTTGGAAGGCAAATGTAAGGCCAAATTGGCCCTCAATGAAAATGAGTTTGACTGAGCTACACTTTACATAGAAATTTCTGGAGTTTATAATACACTCTCCAAAGAAATAGATCCTAGTGCAAGTAGTCTCTGGTGCTGCCAGAGATCGCTCACGAGAGGGCTTGGGAACATCAGGCAGCTGCTTCTCAGTCAACAGGGGAATGAAGCTCTGTTGACTTTGGCGGATGCTTTCCAGTAATGGAGCTTTTGAGTATTTGACCACAGTGCTAAATAGCATGTAATGACCATACAGGATTCCACCAACTGTTCTTTGAGTTACAGTCAAGGATATTCATGAACTGGTGGGGGGTGGGGAGAGAGAAAGCTAATAACATACTGTAATTTAGGAATAAATGAATGCAAGTAATCCCAAATTAGAAACTTCTTGACCCTTTTATTGAGGACATTTTCAATTATCCCATTCAAACTACCCACACTCATGGTCATGGATCAGGTTTGCAGAAGCCCGTGGAAGCGTTTAAAGACAATTATGATTGGCTTGTCACTCCTTTGGTATATAAATTGGAAGGGGATACTTTTATTTACAGTGGTCTGAGGACTGCTAAAATGTACTTTTGGAAATATTAAATTTGCAACTTGATATCTTTAAAAAAACACCCACACTCAAAAGTACTGTATTTTTGCTGGGAAAAGTTTGAAATTAGCCATTAAAAATAGGGCTAAGCCTTTAGGTGACACTTACTATTGATATTAGCTAGGACAGTCTCAGGTAATGCCACCAGCAACATTGTAGAAACATGGACTCTTTAGCCTTCTGGCCATGCTGTGTCCAGGGAAATACCAAATAAACAGCACCAAGAGGTGCTAAAGACTACATACTTTCTTATCTCGTTTTCTCTATGCACGATCAATATTAGTAAACAGCAGTTCCTTCGTGTTGTGGATAATGTTGATGTGCTTCCTCCAAAGTATCAGTCTGTGAAGGATCTAAGAGAAGGGCTTCACTGCTCATATCCACCCACTTCCATATCACCAGCTATACCAAGAACTATGTGGATGGATTCTTGGAAACAATAACACACTGCTTGACCCTGATAAAGATGAAAGGGGATAGTGGTTTCAGGACAGAGCCAGCCATCTCTTCCCCTGTAGGTCATGTTGCTCTGTTCTTCAGGATGCATCATTATGAAAGTCTCAGCATATTCGGCTGTCCTCTCCACCCCCTGCCCCCCCCCTTTTAAATAATCCTAGCACTTTAGTTCCACTCAGTCCACCTTCCTTCCCATGTAGAGTTGAGGAAAAAGGAGATTTTCAAAAACTCTGTGCTTTTGTACCTTCCCTTGCTTTCTGTTCCAGGTTATTGGCACACTCCCATGGGTGGTTAACCCAGCAGCCATTGCCACAGCAAACCCAGCCGCGTTGCCAGCACAGAGTCTGCAGGTGCAGGCAGTGACACCCCAGCTGCTCTTGAATGCCCAAGGCCAGGTCATAGCCACCTTGGCCAGCAGCACCATCCCGGCAACAGCAGCTTTGAGGAAACCCAGCACCCCAGAATCACCAGCAAAGACCGAGGTGAGCTTCTTCAGCCTGTCAAGGGCTGCTGAGTCCAAGGGGAACTTATCATAGCACTCTGCGGCAAAATCTGCTTGAGTGGAATACCTGCATATAGGGAAAAGCTGGGAAATATTTGACAGGAGCCTAAAATCATTCACATAAAGGTGTTTCCTACTCTCTTCTTGCTCTGTTCTCCTGGAAAGCTCTGCAGGCATGTCCCCAATGACATTTCTATTGATTTCTTCTATTAATATTTGTGTTCTTCCTCCTATTGATTTTTCATAAAAGTAACTTTCCTTGCAATCATTCTGAAGCAAGTCAGCAATGCAATTGCAGGGGAGGACAGTGGGAAAGGACTGTCTCATTTTGCTTGTGGGAAGGGGGACGTTCTACCAACAGCCCCCTGTGTTGAACCCCATCTCATTCAAGAGGGTTGCAGACCTTCCTTGGAGTCAGAGAATGAGGATGGGTGGTTTTAGGAGTCCCCTCCTTCCATCTTTTTCTGGTGGGTAATTTGGTCCTTTTTCCATATGCTAACCAACGTTTTATTGATGTTATGCAGTTGGCCTTATTGGAGTTTGGTTCCAGGACTCCCTGTGGATGTCAAAGCATACAGATACTTCAGTCTCATTATATACAATTGTATAGTAAAATGGCATAACTTACTGTATATACTTGAGTATAAGCCAAGATTTTCAGCCCTGGTTTTAGGCTGAAAAAGCCCCCCTCAGCTTATACTCAAGTCAAGTTATTTATTAATTTACTCTGTTGTTATTGTTATTATTATTATTATTATTACATTTATTATTTTATTCTATTATTGTTATATTTACATTATTTTACTCTATTATTACATATATTATCTTATTCTATATAGTATTACATTATTTTACTCTATTTATTATTATTATTATTATATGTATTATTTTACTCTATTATTACTGTTATTACATTTCCATTACTTTATTATTTTTTATTGCATATATTATTTTACTCTCTTTATTATTATTGGAAGGATACGTAAGCACATTTACATAAAAGAAGATTAGAATAATGGTTTGATCAGAGTTGGGTAGTCTTATCTTAAATTACAGTTTTATGTAAATATTAAAAAACATTTAACCTACCGATGCCTCAATTTGTAATTTTATTGGTATCTATTTTTATTTTGAAATTTACCAGTAGCTGCTGCATTTCTCACCCTTGTCTTATAGTCAAGTCAATATGTTTTCCCAGTTTTTTTGTGGTAAAATTAGGTGCCTTGGTTTATATTTGGGTGGGCTTATACTTAAGTATATACGGGTATATAAAATGACGGACAACTCAAATGAGTGCCAGAGACTGCATGAGAATCTGTGAAATGGTGGGAGACTACAGCAGTGTAGGTCTACACATCATCATAGTACTTGGTGTGTGGCAAAATCATAGTTTGCCTTTTGGATCCCCCCCCCCCAATACTTTCAAACAATGGGTGGTTGTACCCATGCTGGAGAATCCACAAGTGTGGAAGATTATCAGAATGTTCAAAATGGGAATCTCTCCCCCCTCCCCCCCGCCCCAAAATGCTAGATTTATTAGACTATTCTGCCAACAATAACCCACTGTGTTTGAGAATATATCTGCCTGAACATCATTCTCCTTTGTTGTATTGGCAGGTCCAGCCTATTCAACCTGCTCCGCCTTTGTCGCAGCCAGCGGTGGTCATTGCAAGTCCTCCTCCTGCAGCCAAACTAGCTTCTGCTCCTGCCCCCATTTCCTGTTCAGAGACCCCTACTGTCAGCCAGCTTGTTTCTAGTAAGCATGTCTGGGGTCATTGTTTTTTCTGTAATAGGTGGAGGGCGACTTTCAATGGGATGGTAATGAGAAAAGCTTCATAGGTATTATCTTTTGGATAGCGATCATGGGTTGGTGCATAGTAGGATTTCCAATACATACTAGTGGAGGGGTATGTCCTACCCGTTCCCTGGGGAATTTGTAGTGTGAATGGCTGCAGGAGGCACGATTTCTTTAGAGTGATAGGGAACTGTTCTGGAACAGTTGTTCCAGGAGCTCCAATTTTATTTGCTTTGAATTAAATGTTGGTTTGCAATCCCAGGCTTGGGAGTTTGCAGCAGGGTGGCTTCCTGTTATAGTTTGCAATCATAGGGCAAGCCACTTGTCTATTATAGCTAGGATCCCTGGTCCCGCCCCTCTCTGGGTTTTTTGGAGGGAAGGGGCCATCTTTCAGTTAGTCTCAGCAAAGGAAGTCAATGCAGAGGATGTATACAGACATCCTCCTGTGCAAAGGCTTCGTTCCTTAAGACTTTCCGGGGGAGAACAGTCTTGAGAGCCTCTAAAGATTCCCAAAGGTTCGGGGAAACAGCCTTACAGCCCTGAGGAATTCCGGAGGGAATTACAGCTCTAACCATCAAAGCAGCTAAGTGATTACAGGCCTGTTGGTACGTCTACTCGGTTCTGAGACGCAGTTCAGCCGGTAGTGGATTCAAATCAGTCAGGTTTAGGTTCACAGCAGCCTGGGAGGAGCTAGAAAGGGGAATTTTCCTTTGAACAATTTTTTTTTTGAAGATAGTGCCTGTTCCCTGTGAACAAGATTGCAAGAGCTAAGAGACTGTTTAGAAAACTTTACAATTCCTGTTTGTTCATCAATAAAAGACTGTTATATTTAAGCTCAAGCCTCCTAAAGACTGTTTAATAAGGGAAATTTCTCTAAAGGCTTCTTTTCGGGGGCCCTGGCTTCCCGCTGGATCCAAGCCATACATCCTCTCTTAAAGGCACTTCATTTCAGGTCCAGCGGTGACAGAACAGGAACTGTCACTTTAAGGAACCCATGACCCTTCAAAATTTGCTGGACTCTAGCTCCTAGCCAGCATATCAAAATGTTGTGCAATCAACAGCAGTCATGACCTAAGTACAAATAGAAGCCACCGGTTCTCTACCCCTGGATCTGGATGCAGATTTTAATGCATATGGATTTTTTAAAATGTAGTTTATTTATTTTTACTTATTTATTTACTATATTTCTACCCTACTCTATCTCACCCTGAGGGGGAGAGTGGCTTACAGTTTGGCAAAATTCAATGCCACGTTTCAATACAAATAGACAGATATCGCATATCAAGCAATAAAACAGATAAAAACAAATAAATACAATGTAAACAGGGTTTTTATCCATGTCAGGAGCGAGTAGAGAAACTGTAAGTATCTTCTGGTATGAAAGAATTGGCATTGCCCAGGGGACACCTGGATGTTTTACCATCCTGTGAGAGGCTTCTCTCATGTAACCGCATGAGAAGCTGGAGCTGACAGACGGGAGCTCACCCTGCTCCCCAGATTTAAACCACCAACCTTTCAGTCAGCAGTCCTGCCAACACAAGAGTTTAACCCATTCCGCTACCGGGATAATTAAAACAGTTAAAAACATAATACCTCATCCTGTATAAGTTTTCTTATAAGCATTAGTAGAGCAAAAACCACAATGTCTAACTGATTATTATTCACTTATTTGCCCACATTAGAGCCTCAGCCTCCCAACAGTGGAAGTGATGAAGATGGAATTAACTTGGAGGAAATTAGAGAATTTGCCAAGAACTTTAAGATTCGACGCCTGTCTTTGGGTTTGACACAAACACAAGTGGGGCAGGCATTGACTGCAACTGAAGGACCTGCATACAGCCAGTCCGCTATATGCAGGTAAGCCAGATGAGGAAGGATTCCAAGGTCTCTCTTGCCTATTACATTACGTAACACAATGTTTGTTCCTGGGTTATAAATGTTACTTCCTAATTGTTTCTTGCAAAAAACTGCAAAAACTTTGTTTTTGCAGAATATTCTGCAAAACATTTTGCTATAGTTTTTCAATAAATATCTCATAGAGTCTCAACCAATTCAACATAGTTTATGGCAGCCACAAAAATGAAGTTTCTGGAGTATAACAACTTTTTCGAAGTTGGTACTGCGCAATTAAACAGGAAATGACACTTTCAAACCAGGAACAGAATTTTTCAAATTTTGTTACATAGTGTTGTTTCAGGCTTCTGTGGAATCAGAGGCATGGAAATCTGTACTGGGTATTTGAAATTGTTATGGTACTTGTCTCTTTACCACCTCTTTTGAACCAATGGAAGGCAAAATGAAATTGCTGTTAGATCTCAGGGTGACTTTTCAGTACATGGAATGAAGCGTTCTGTTTCCCATCTTTTCACCAAGAATAATAACTCATGGGTCTTGTTCTGACTGCTGAAGCCAATACAAGTTGGTTCAGTTCTAGTTGCTAAAACAAATATCTCAAATCTTCCCCACTGAAGCTCTGTGCAAAATGTTCATTCAAGCTGGCACATCTATAATTTAATAAAAATCAGAAATATCAAAGTACACTCCACAAGCCCAAAATCTTCTCACTTCCAGTAATTAAATTTACTTAATCTGATTGCCAGAAGGGATTGATAGTTATATTAACAAAATATTTCCTAGTTTGGGATTCCCAGTAAGATTCACTTTCCAGAAGCCACATACAACATAGCTTTAGTCAGGGATTCTTGGAATTGTAGTTTAGAACATCTGGCGATACAAGATTGAAGACTTCCTTTCTGGCCTTCAAAAGAAAAGTAAAAACTTGGCCATGGGACCAAGCCTTTGGGCAGTAAGCAGTACAAGGAATGATCAGGGATTATGTGCAATAGATATATTTGGAATGGCCTATGATTCTTGGATTGTGTGATTTCAATGTTTATATTCTTGGACTGTGTGATTTCAATGTTTATATTGCGAGCCCCCGGTGGCACAGTGGGTTAAACCCCTGTGCCGGCAGGACTGAAGACCGACAGGTCGCAGGTTCGAATCCGGGGAGAGGCAGATGAGCTCCCTCAGTCAGCTCCAGCTCCCCAAGCGGGGACATGAGAGAAGCCTCCCACAAGGATGATAAAAACATCAAATCATCCGGGTGTCCCCTGGGCAATGTCCTTGCAGACGGCCAATTCTCTCACACCAGAAGCGACTTGCAGTTTCTCAAGTCGCTCCTGACATGACAAAAAAAAGTTTATATTGATATGTTTTTAATTCCATGTTTTAATGTTAAATGATGTCATGCATTATGATTTGATAATTGTATGTTATTATTGTTATGTTAGGTTTATGTATGTGAGGCATTAACTTTTGCCATAATTATTTTGGAAACAGCTTTGAGTAACAGCTTTGAAAAGCGGTATACAAGTGAAATAAATAAATAAATAAGGTTGGAAACTTCTGGTACAAACCACACCCATTTTAAACTCTGCACTAAGTTAAATTTCCCAAAGCTGAAGGGGAGTGGATCTGATGCATTTTCATGCTACAGTCAAAGCACTATGATTCCACTTTAACTGCCATGGGTGCATCCTGTGGATTCCTATGACTGACATCCTCAGTCAGGGAGCTTTTCTGGTTCCTCGGACCAAAACTTCCAATCCCAAGCTTATACAGGATGGTGCATGACAGTTAAAGTGGAATCAATTATGTAGAGTGAATGGGGCCCTAGAAAAAATAAGTTGGGGGCAGGCCCGTAGCCAGGATTTCGTTTCGGGGGGGGGGCTGAATTTTTTTTCAGGGGGGGTTTCGGGGGGGCTGAGTTTCGGGGGGGTGATGAGTCTGAGTGAAAGAGGGTCTAGCCTAGCAAACCTTTTGTATCATTACCCCAATACCCCCATGCATATGGGATATATTGAGTATGGTGATCAGATCATGATATGAATAAACATAACAGTTTAAATAATGCACCAATAAGGCCTTTTCACGAACCACCATGAAAATTTCGGGCTGAAGCCCCCCGAGCCCCCCCCCCCCCGGCTACATGCCTGGTTGGGGGTTGCAATTCCCAGATTCCTCTGCCATGCTGCCTGGGGATTGTGGAAGTTGTAGTCCCGCCCAAAAAAGTACCTCTTCTATGGTCTTGTGATTTCACTCATTTATGCAATCTGAACCAAATCAGCTGGGTACAACATGAACTTCTAATCCAATGGTTCCCAACCTGTAGGTCCCCAGATATTTTGACCTTCAACTCCCAGAAATCCTAACAGCTGGTAAACTAGACACAGCATTCTATCTATCTACCTCACCCATGGGTTTTACAATTTTTACCCTTTGCATTTGGCCCAGCTCGCCTTCGTTTAATTCTTCTACCATTTTACACTCTATTTTATTATGTTACTGTCACAATTTTATTGTATTATTATATTATTGTTTAGCATTTTTATTTGATGTTATCATCTGTTTTGTATGCATTTTATTTTGCCTTATTGTAATTGCTTGGGCTTGGCCTCATGTTAGCCACCCCGAGTCCCTTCGGGGAGATGGTTGTGGGGTATAAAGTTGTTGTTGTTGTTGTTGTTGTTGTTGTTGTTGTTGTCAAAACTACATTCTTAATGGCTGGTCAGAATGCTAAGATAACACACCAAACAGCCCTTTTCCTTCATAAAGAAACACAGCTGAGAACTGCATATCTGGAGGCGATTGGGGTAAACTGTAGGGGTGATGCGGATATCTGAAGTGGCTTGGGATTGTGTAATAGCTGGTCTATTTTAACCTTTGTTGTAACTTTTGTTTTTAATTTTTGTGGTTTGAAATTTTACCTTGGCATTTTAATGATGATATTTTTAATTATCTTTTAACTTAATTAAGTTTGAGTGTATGTTAGTTCACTATTATGGGAGTCTTAGGATAGTGATTATTGTCTATTTGTGTATGTTTCTGTTTTTGTTTTTAATGTTGATACGGTCAGTGGACTATTGTTATTATTATTAGTATTATTATTATTATTATAAAATTGGGGATCCACAGGTTGAGAACCACTGTTCTAATGCATTTCCCAATGCCTTCCTGCTTACTTTGCAGGTTTGAAAAGTTGGACATCACTCCCAAAAGCGCCCAGAAGTTGAAGCCTGTCCTGGAGAAGTGGCTGACTGAGGCTGAGCTGCGGAACCAGGAAGGTCAGCAGAATCTAATGGAGTTTGTGGGCGGAGAGCCCTCCAAGAAGCGTAAACGACGCACATCTTTCACGCCACAGGCCATCGAAGCCCTCAATGCCTACTTTGAGAAAAATGCCCTGCCCACAGGGCAAGAGATAACAGAGATTGCCAAGGAGCTCAATTACGATCGCGAGGTCGTCCGGGTCTGGTTTTGCAACCGGCGACAGACACTCAAAAACACCAGCAAACTCAATGTCTTTCAGATCCCTTGAAGGTTCAGGGGCTGACGTGGCCTGTCCTTGCGTTGCTGCTGTGAGCACTTTGTGGCTAACTCCCCTTTGCACCTGCAGTTCCTTTTACGGTGATGACTGGCACGGAAGATGGTGGGCAGGAAGGAGTGCCTCTTGTTTCAGTGTCCTCCCAGCCTTTTTGTCTCACGTGGCCCAGTTGTGTACATGTCAGCTGTGTCCTTCCTCTCTGAGTGTCGTGCTGGAGCTGTGAAGGGTTTAGGAATACATACACCTTTAGTTTCCTTCAGTGTCAGACAAAAGCATCATCAGGTTTATTTCCTTTTGAAAACTACAACAACAACAACAAGACTCTCTGTGTTTTTGTATGGAAAGGTAGCGTTGGGACTGACACCTGAATTGCACTTATCAGAAAATCCTGCTTCCTTTCAAAAAGAAATGTGTAAAATCCTGTTCCATTTCAAACTCTTTTCATAGACAGTGTTATCTCTTCATGCACAGTAACAGGTACAGTTAACGGTATCTAAGCAGATTAGTGGCATAATTTATATCTTTTTCTTGTGAAGATTATTATTATTATTGTTATTCAGAGCACTATTAAACTAAAAGACTTTTTATCACTGAAAAAAGATGCTAGTAGCTTTGAGTCCACTGTTTTTCTAAAGCCCTGGTTAGGGTTCCCCCATTTTTAAGACTATGGTGTGATTAAAGACAATGGTTCACTGGATAGATTAAATCTCTGCTCCTAAGGTATGCTGTTCAGTGGAAGGGAGGGTCTGATATTTTTATAGCTTGGAAACTCACATTAACATGATAGAGAGGAATACTGTATATACTCGAGTATAAGCCTACTTTTTCAGCCCTTTTTTAGGCTGAAAAAGCTCTCCTCTGCTTATACTTGAGTCAAGGTTATTTATTACTTTACTCAGTTATTAGTATTATTTTATTACATTTATTATTTTACTCTATTTATTATTATTATTATTATTACATTATTTTACGCTATTATTATTTTACTGTATTTATTATTGTTTTATTAAACTTATTATTTTACTCTATTATTATTGGAAGGATACGTAAGCACATTTACATTGAAGAAGGTGAGAAGAATGGTTTCATCAGAGTTGGACAGTCTTGTCTTAAATTACAGTTTAAATATTCAAAAGCATTTAACCTACTGATGCCTTAATTAATATAATATCTATTTTTATTTTGATATCGATCAGTAGCTGCTGCATTTCCCACTGTCGACTTATACTCGAGTCAATAAGTTTTCTCAGTTTTTTGTGGTAAAATTAGGTGCCTCGGCTTATATTTGGGTCAGCTTATACTCGAGTATATACGGTAGTTGTAACTGCCTGCTTTAAGCTTCAACAGTAAGACATTTTTGTAGCTTCAGGATTTCTCGGACTGCAGAATATCTAGATCCGAGTTGTCAAACTTGTTTTCATTGAGGATCACATCAGCTTTATGGTTGCCTTCAATGGGCCATTGAGCCCATGGATGGAGAATCCATGGATACAGAGGGCCAACTATAATTTTTGTTACATAGTGGCCAGTACTCTTTAGTTATTATTCAGTTTGGGTCCCTGGATGTCACTGAATGACAACTCCCATCACTTTTGATTATCCACCATGCGGGCTGGAAATAATGGGAATTGTAATGATGTCGAAGGATGACGAATACCAGGGTTATAGTCCAATGTCTGGAGCGTCACATAAAAGGACATGTGATCTAAATCATTGGTTTGAAACAAGGAGGAATATATCCACAGCTCTGTACCACTTTCATAGTAATGACGCCATCATGCTGAGTCCTAGGATTTGTTATTTAGTGCTGTGGTACATAAAATTCTCTGCTAAAGAGTTCTAGTCTCTAGTAGATCAACAAAATCAGGATTCCCTGAGAGGAAGCCGTAACATATATTTATGTAGCGGCAACCATAATTGCCGTTGAAGCAATGATGGTATAAAACATGGGGGACAGGGGTTTTGGATCAAGTTTTACTTGATAAAATAGGTTCACTACAAAAAGTGATGCACACTATTCTGTTTCCTGGTTTTGAAAGTTGTTGGTAGGGTTCTGAAAGCAGGATAAAAGGCAGTCCAAAGTCCAAACCATCTGGGTCCAAAGAGTTAGCAGGTAGCCAGGAAAAGCAAGTCTAGAAATAGAGTCAAAAGGCAGTCCAAAGGCTGAGTTGGCAGTCAAGACAGAACAGGTATCCCACAAAGATAAATACGAAAATCATCCTAAAATATGCTGCTGCCTGAGGTAGAGAAATAAATGGTGTCCTCTTGTTTCCTGGTATAGATTAACCAGGATCAGCCAAATTATTGTGTTAAGTGAGCCAGGAAATACCAAAGCACCTATCTCCCAACTTCTTAATGAATTAATAGATTAATCAGTTACCATATGCTATCTTTTGCTGATAGCCAAACTCTGTTGCTTGGGATGTCTACCAGCCCTAAGCCATAACAACTTACTTTGTGAAGCTTTTCATAAGAGTGGACAAAGCAATGGAGAGATTAGGATACTTAAATAAAACCTCTTTGGAGACAGTGTCCCTCTGAATACCAGGTGAACAAACCAAAGATGAGCAAATCTCACTTTGGTGTCTTGCTTGAACATTTTCAAGAGGCAGTCAGTTGTCTCCTCTTGGAAACAAACATGCTGTTTCATCTGATGCAGTTAGGAAGTTCTTAGGTTGTGTGCATTGCTTTCCTGTTGTATGAAATTGTATCCTTCAGGGCCTTGCATTCACAGCACACAGAATCATGAAAACTCCCTTGAGATACATCTGCATTGTAGAATGGATGCAGTTTGACGCCACTTTAACTGCCATGGTTTAATGCTGTAGAATTCTGGGAGTTGTAGTTTGGTAAGTCACCATTACTATCTGGCAGAGTAGGCTAGAGACCTTGATTGAATTGCATTGAGCCACAGAAGTTAATGTAGTGTCAAACTGCATTCCATTCTACAATGTTGATGCATCCTTGGAGATAAGATGCAGAAAAAGTGACAAGATCACATCTCTAGCTGCAGGATTTTTTTTATAGAAAACATAATTATGTTTTCAAAGCACTGAAAGGACTGGAGGGCATGGATGGTACCTTCTAAGTATTCTTTACAATGTGTTTAGGAAGCGTTTGCTGACACACGTTCAATTAACTTAGCCATAATTACTATGAAGGTGTCATCATTCATGCTTTCATCATTCACGTTGAAGCTGGGGGAGGGGGGCGGTCAAAGGCAATAACATCCAGTAGGTGGCAGCACTTTGTAGCGTGTCATGGACCAACTCTAGGAGTCAACAAACAGAATTGTGGGATCAGCAGTCCAAAGGGAAAAGGTCTTTTGCATTTTTAAAAAAGTCTCTTGGTATTTGATGGATCGAGATGAGCTTAGTATCGCTACATTTTTGGACTTCCAACTCCCAGAATCTCCCATTCAGCAGGGGCATGAGAGTGAATTACGCATCAATAAATACCAGTCTTCCTTTAGCTCACAAGATGAATGTAAGAACGTAAAGTTTACCCATGAGGAGTGTCAGAATTAGGACATTTTGGACAATGATGCATACCAGTCAGGAGATATGCCTTATGATACAAATTCAAAATTAAAGAATTAAGTCAACTTTCTGAAGAAAAAAAAACATTTCAGTGGCTTGGGATATTTGAAAGCAGTGATTGGAAAGACTTTGAGACAGAGAACGGGTGACCTATGAGGAAGTAAAAGTGCTCCAAATGCAACAGGGTTACCTTGACACACATGTAAGTATTTAGAAAGATATTCCTATCTAATTAACCCATTCCGTAAGACTTCTGGGTGAAATCAAATTATTAGCCTCAGTCCGTTGAAATGTCTTAAATTTCATCAGCTAGTTGGACCTCTAACAGGTGGAGTTAGCTCATAAATCCATATTTTTAAAAAGTGGTTCTATTGTTATTTTAGAACAATTATTATTATCATGCAATGTCCCTCAGTCTATAGATGTGCATGCAATCTGCACTTCACAAATCTTCCTTCCAGCCCAGTCCCACAATATAATAAGCCATTAGAACCAATGCAATCAAAGCCAGAATTGAAAAGTCGACGACAGATTCCAAATGTAGACTCTGCAAGGAAGCAGATGAAACAACAGATCACATCCTCAGCTGCTGCAAGATCGCGCAGACAGACTACAAGCAGAGGCACAACACTGTTGCTCAGATGATTAATTGGAACTTGTGCCACAAATACCATCTGCCTGCGACAAAGAACTGGTGGGATCACAAGCCGGAAAAAGTTACACAAAATTAACACGTCAAACTCCTCTGGGATTTCTGAATTCAGACAGACAGAATTCTGGAGCACAATACTCCTGAACTCACAATCATGTTAAAAAACAAAGCATGGATTGTCGATGTTGCAATCCCAGATGACAGCAGGATTGAAGAGAAACAACTGGAAAAGCTGACATGATATGAGGATTTAAAGATTGAACTGCAAAGACTCTGGCACAAGCCAGTAAAGGTGGTCCCAGTGGTGATCGGCACACTGGGTGCAGTGCCTAAAGACCTTGGTCTGCACTTAAACACAATCGGCACTGACAAAATTACCATCTCCCAGCTGCAAAAGGCCACCTTACTGGGATCTGCATGCATCATTCGCCGATACATCGCACAGTCCTAGACACTTAGGAAGTGTCAGATGTGTGATCCAATTCAACAGTCAGCAGAGTGTCTGCTGTGGACTCATCTTGTGTTTCTAATAATAATAATAATAATAATAATAATAATAATAATAATTTGTACCCTGTTTTATCTCCTCCAAAGAAGACTCAAAGTGGCTAGTTTTGACTGGAAGGCTCCAATGTTGCCATTTAAAAAAGAAGAGAAAAACAGATACTAGATTTCACACAAGGTCTAATTTACCTCCGAAGTTATCATCCAACCTAGATGCTAGCTTTTTATCTCATGTTTACTTAGTAAAAGTCAATTTCCCTTTATCAGTGTCACTATTTCAAATTGCACATTTATACATGTTCCTCTGTACATAAGCCCCATTGAATTCAGTGATTCTTAATGTGAACATATGTGCATTTAACAGCACTGTAAAGAACTTTGTGTAAAAGCAATAATCCAGTGGCAACTTGGATATTTAATCCTGTGGCCTTCTAAAGTGATAAATAGCATTGCTTACATACCTTTCTAACATAAATAATGCTTTCTATATTTCTATATTTGCCACAAATAAGGAAAAAGGAAAAATGTACATTTTCCTTTTAAAAGTATAAAATGTATTCTCCAGTAACTATATAAAGAAGCAAAATATTTAATACCATGGTTACCAAGAAGCAAAAGTAAATTTATGGATGAGATGGCTACTGCTACCTATCAGTTCCACTTCCAAAGGGTTCCTGGTGAATGTGAATGGTTTCCAATTCCAGATGTTTTTGACTTCTACTCCCTTGCCAGTATAGCCAGTTATGAGCATTGTTGTCCGAAACACTGCTTTTTTAACTTGGTCCTGACTCAAAATAGGGTCCCCTTAGCTCAATCACAAAAAAATTAGGGTCACATTAAATTTAGCAACAGTAAAAGGTGTCTGGATGCCACTCATTTACACAAATCTGTTAGCAACAACATG